CATGTCTGATTGCAGATAGGAAGGAAGCCAAGTTGCCATGTGAGTCCCGAAGATGTTTCATGGTTTTTTAAATGCAACACAAGGCATCTTTTCTGACTTGTGGCTTGGTGAGGACTATGTTGGTGGACCAGAGGTTTTAGATGTTGATGAGTTCAGCCAGCAAACAGTGCTTTATATGAGAAGGGCCCTCTTGTGTGGTCGCAGATTTTCAAAAGTGGATCAGAGTTTTACTTGGCATAGCTTGAAGTTCAGGCCTGGCATGTTGGTAGGCTACACCAGTATGTAGTGGATGCACTCCGTGGCTGCACAGTGCATAACAGGTTCTTGGAGGACAGAGTGCTGAGGCTGTTCTCCCCACCATACTGCTTGCTTTGGCCCAGGGACTCTGGACATTACGTACAGTACGATAAATTGCCTGTCTATTTGTGAAAGCTGCAGTTTCTTACAGAATTGAATAGCTTTTGAAGGAGGTGATAGGAAGACTTCTCATATGAAGCCTGGATGTTGCTGCCAGTCACAACACAGTAGGAAGAAGAAAAACTCTGAGGAAGAATTTTCCACAGAGAAAATGAGAGATATTAAGGGAAAAAAATCTTTTGGAAACACATTAAATTTCAGTGAGTCTTAAGCACTTCATCCAGTGATTTTAAAGCAATTTAGACACCAAAGATTTTGGAATAATCTTTAGCATGCTTTAACCTTGTGTGGTACATGTAGGTTGTAGAGACTGCATCAGAAAATACTGTGTAGAGTTGAATTAATTCCCCTTTTAGATGTGTAGTCATGAAGATTTAGTCTGATAATGGAAGTTTAATAGAATCCAAGCATGAATAATATGCAATTATACTTCTGCTGGATTATTTGTATCAAGGGACAATTTTAAGATTACAGTTCAGTACCTATCATTATAAACAGTGAGCATGAGCTGTTGTTGTAATAATAAAATGATGATAGAGATTGTGGTTTCAGCAGAAAAGTGCCAAATTGTGGCAGGCAGTGTGGTTTCTGAAAGACAGACACGTCATAGGAGGCTGGTGTCCCTTGTGTGAGCAAACACGCTTTCTCTCAATCTACTCAAACGCCTATGCGTTAAAGAAAAGGAAAAGGCAGTTTGATTCCTGCCCGTCACTGTAAGGAAACCAAATAACAGATGATGTTGAAATTATGTTTTTTCAGAATACCTATAATGCCCCCATGGGGACCTGTGCAAGGGGTCTGCCTTCAAAGCAATGTAAAATGTTGAAGATGACAGAGAACCATGCTGGTTTGGAGTAAAGCATGAAGGGAACTAGCACGAGGGTTGTTGGATCAAGATTTCTGCATGTCCTTGCTCACAGAACCCCAGCTCTCTCCGTATAGTCCCTGTTTGTGCCTAGCCCAGCACCCATAGTGACTCCAAATTGCTGATCATGCTGTTCACACCCAGTAAAATCCATCTAAGCTCCGCTCCACGCCCCCTAGTGCTGCAGGATCCGGCCTCTCATCCTTCGTGCTCCCCACGCCACCTCGTCCTGCTTACGCAAGCGGGCCAGCGAGCCAAGAGAAACCTCTGAACTCGCTGGCTGTGACAGCAGGCGGTGGCAGCCAGGTTTCTGCTGTCATCCCTCGGAGGCATCGGGCAGGCGGCAGAAGGCGCCAGGGTTGGGGCTCCCAGGGCCTGCCCTCTCCCCAAAGCCTCCCGTTGGGGGAGGCCGCATTGGCACCGTAGGATCTGCCGCTTGGGACCATGGCGGTGGGGATCAGGGTATGTGAAAGGGGAGCACAGAGGGTTTTGGATGCGTGTGTAATGCCCGTTCACCAGCTCGGGACTGGTTTGTATCTCTTCTAAGCTGGTTTATATCCCTGGGTTTTCTGTCATGCTCCAAGTCACAATTAACAAGTGCTTGTTTATACAGTTCTTGCTCTAGGCCCTTATTTGCCTAGCAAAGCATAATGCGCAACATCTAAACAAAGAGAGCAATGTGGGCTAATTAATTCCTGATTTGGGGAATCAAAAGATAAATTCCTAAGTAAACTAAGTTTTCCTAAAACTGCATAACTCTTCCCACCTACTTTCTCTCCTCATGCACTCCTCCCTGCGTACAATAAATAAAGCAGCCACCCGTGAAACACGCAGCTCAATTGAAAACATAATGTGCTCAATTGGGGTTTGGAGGAGCACCAAGGAATGATCTTCAGACCATACTGAGAAGCTTTCTGGACACTATGGGAGCGCTGCAGTGCCACAGGCCACCGTGACCAGCATCCGCTGGGAGACGGTGCCTTGCTTGTCCCATTGGCCAAGCGGGGCCATTTGGGGTAGGGTTGCCTTCAGAGGTGAACTGGAGCCCTAAGACTCAGGTGTGCTGGTCTCTGGTCTTCTGGGTGGAGAGGCTCCTTCAGTGGACAGTGCCACGTATATAAATTGCTGTCTTTTGGCTTTCCTTTCAGAGGGGTGTATGGATAGCTGTTGCCCTTAGCTGCCTTGGTGAGTACCTTCCCTCCATCAGGATCAGTTAGATAAAATGTGCTACGTTGTAGTAGGATCCCAGGACAGGGGGTATGGTTGTTTCTGGCATGCACTATGTGTAGGATGTCTATAGCTGCCTGTGTCCATGCTCTGTAAGGAGATGCCTGTAACACTAACCTCTGCTTTCAGCAACAGCTGACACTGAGGCTTTCTGGGGAAGGATTTTGTCTGCCTGATGTTAGCCAGGGTATAGGGAGGTGGCTGGTAGCACCATACGAGATGTCTTTGGTGTGGAGTTGGGTGCACATCCCATCCCTCTGATGTACCCCCCCAGTTCCCCTTAACTTAATGGATTTGTGTCCCTGAAGTATTTCTCCACTTCTGAGAGGCTTACTGGGTGATCGTTGCTGGTGACTGAGCTGACCAGAGAGAGCAGTGCCTCCTGAGCCCTTTCCATTTGTTTTCTGTTGGGGTAAATCCCGAGGGCCTTTTTTCCAGTTTCAGTCAGACCCGTAATTGGAATTTCTCTTTCCAAGATGTGCTAATATCAGTGTCACCGGAGGGTGTTCATTAGCTGAACGCAAGATATTTACTGGGGCTGGTCCAGGGGTGGCTGGACAGTTTTATATGGGGGCTCGGAGAAGATAGTTGGGTTTTTAAAACTTGGGTTCAGTTGGAATATCACCTGTCAGCATCTGGCACAGTAAATTGCTGTGTCAGTTTGTTGACAAATGTTAATAAAAACTATGAGTGGGACCAGAAGTGCCCCGATCTACACCACTCAAAGCTGTATTTTATTTTTATTTTTTTAGCATCATGGGATACACAGGCACACTCTGGAAAAAAATTTTGAAGTTTAAACACTTTCTTCCTACTCGTGGGAGCTGAAAACTCAAGCTTACTGTAAACAGCCTTAGAAAACATTTTACGTTTCCAGAGTTATGAGTCCAAACGTTTCCATGAAGCAGTGACACAGTTCCAGGGTAACAACACACTTTGTTTCTTTAGCATAATTTTTCTCTGAGAGTTGTACAAGTTCTTTTTTCTTTCTTTTTTTTTTTTTTTTTTAAATACTACTCTGCTTTTTGGGACAAACATCTCCCTTCTCAGAGTAGATTTTGGTCAGAGGTGGGGAAAGGGAAGTGTGTACTTCCTTAAATAAATATCTATATGTGTTTTTAGTATTTTGGGTATTTTATTTTTCAAGCAGAAAGTTGACTTTTTTTTTTTTTATAACCATTGGTTAGTACTATGGAAAATGCACGGAGCTGTTTTGGCTGGATGGAGCAAAGCAGTGGGTTAAATTTTAGCACATTTAGCAGCACAGTGATCTCTCTTCTGTGAAAGACAGGATTGTATTATGTAACAGCCCGGCTGCCAAATACTTCTGCTGGCAGCGGTCAGCCTTCTATGCACCATTGACATCAAAACCTAATGAGGTTTGATCCAGAGAAGGGATTTGAAAGGACGTCTTGTTTTTCTTCAATCTTCACAAACTGAACTTGTTTAAAAAGGGGGAGAAAAAAAAAAGATACAGAGTCTTGTTTGATAAATGAGGAAAAACAGTGTTTTTTTCTCCGAAGTTTTCGCTGTTTATTGGTTTAACAGCTATTGCTCAGAACAAGTCGTTTCTATTTACGGTGTTTATCATATCAGCTAACCTTGTGTGATGGATCGAGGGGGCTGGAGGTCAGGTCTCCATGTTTTCCTTCCACGGGGGCTTTCTGACAGCTTACCTTACTATCTCCTGTGCCTAATATTTATATAGCATCATATTCAGTAAACACAGGACCATGCAAGCGTCCCACTTTGTATACCCCGCACAGTAAGTAAAATGCTTCAGAGAGTAAGTGGCAACAAGAAACACAGGGCTGTAACAAGGTGGTGTACAGGGACACCCAGCTCCATGAAGGCTGCCACAGTGCTAGAAGCAACATAGCACGATACTGTGCTATATTACTGTATAATAAAGCAGATCTTACTAATGCACTGAAAACTATAAGGAATATTCTGCTGGATTTATCTGTTCTGGCATCCTGTTTGACAGCAACTGGCAAGGAAGGCTGAAAGGAAGAGATCAGGGAGCAGGGCATGTGTTGAGTGGTCTGTCCCCTGGAGCAACGCTGACCTGCAGGTTAGCCATCTCTTGAGATGAAGATTTCATAGATTGTGACTCTCTGAATATGTTTAATCCCATTTAAGCTCTTATCATGTGGTCATAAGCCTTCAGTTTGTTGTGTGGAAAACCTTTTCCTCTGGTTTGTTTCAAACCCATGTGGAAAACCTTTTCCTCTGGTTTATTTCAAATACGCTCTCTGCTTACTTGGACCTAGATTATTTTCTCCACATCATCTTACACAGTGACAGAGGAACACGCCAGCTCGTGTGAGTGCAGCGCAGCTCTGGATCAGGCATCTCCCTTCTACGTGTGTAGTGGAGGCATAGCTGGTATTGGTATAACACAATAAGATTTTAGCTTGCCTGGTCATTGTTATGTTTTAGGGGGTTATCATGACAGAGCTGTGGTTAAGAATTTGAAGCAAGAATGAGGTGAATTTACAGACGTTTATTAGGAGCAGCTTCTCATGATGTGTAGCATACTTTGTGCATCTGTAAAAAGGGAATGCGAAGCTTCTCATATGAGATAAATAGCAGAGCTGCCAACACTAGCAAAAATGAAGGCAGATATGAATGTATGCTTAGCACATTGAATGTTTTACACAAATACAGTGCTTGCCTCAGAAATGTATGCAAGATCATATCAACTTTGCCTTGCCCAGGAAATTCACTATCCTTTTGTTCACTTACCAGCAGGGAAAGTATTGTAACCAACAGTTTAATATCCCAAAAGTCCCTTAGCAAGTCAGTGGCAGAGCTGGGAGTACAGTTCAGGATCAATGTCTTTCACTTACATATTTAGTCTCCTGTCTGCATTTCTATGGAGAAGTATTTCTGGTCACGGTGGTAGAGGTGTTAAATGAACTTGGGCAGTTACTCTTGTATTTCTGCTTTCATCTTGAAAGTTTCAGGACTCTTTGCCTGTTCAACAAGTCATGTCAAAGCTGATCATGAAAAAAACTGCAGAGCCCAGGATTATCAGTACTTTTTTGTATTCAGAGCTTCAGCTGCTGCCAAAGGTCTCTGGTGATGGTAGCATGTGTAAGGAACAGAAATGCACTGATTAAGTCCAATAAACTTGAGCGTCTGTGCGTGTTACCAAGCATATGGGAGGGGAATGTGAATGATGAACAGCATTGCTGCGTGATGGGACTGCATTTTGCATGCAGGTCTCAGCATCCGCTTTTCTCCCCTAGAACAGCTCCCAGCCTGCCAGGGTCCTGAGCAGCTACAGAAAACTGACTGCTTGTGAAGTAACCTGCTAGAGGAATGAGATTTGTTTTTCCTCTGTTATTTTCTCTCCCTACATATTCCTTCCAAAGTCCCGGCATGTTTCATGTCAGTATTGTGCCAATTAAAACATTTCTCCTTTTAAAAATGGTATACGGTAAAAGCAGTCTGGTGTCACAAAACTGGAGATTTCTTCCTTTAGGAAGGAGTTACTAAACCAAAAGCTTTTTGGTCTAGTGCTATAATATACAGAGTCACTGTGCCATACACTCAGAAAGATCCAGAAAAGACGCTCAACCCCTGACCTGAGTTAGATTTCTTGAAGTGCACAGGTCTGAGTGGCTTTCGGAGAACTGCAAGAAGACAAGGTAAATTAGTGAAACAGGCTTCAGAAAGTAGCTCAGAAAAGGGGCTGCCCATAGAGCAGTGAATGATAGGGCCAAGAAACTGCTGAGTGCCTTGGAAAAGACAGTGTGTGCAGTCACGTCCATTTTGTTATCATATCACTATCTATTTTGTTACCCTGATTAATTTAGGGACGAACAGAGGGTTAGCAGATTACACTTGTATGTCCTGGAAATTATGGGTGTAGTGAATGTATCCTGATTTTAACAGCCACCGCATTTGCAGGAAGGGGTTGCTTTAACAACAGATACTGGAAAACCAAGCCCACAAGGTCAAATCTTAATTTTCTTCATCCCTTGAAAATACTGGCTGGGGACACATTTTTTAAAACCCTCCTCACTTACAAGTTGCATTCATGGCAGAAAATCTTGGGCTAGGAAAGCATTTGTCCCCAGTTCAAAGTTTGTGTGGTTTTATGTGTGGGTTTAGTACAGTCTCAAGGAATCCACCCTTAGTACATCTGTAGGACAGCACAAGAGTGTACAGTCCTTCATGCCAATATCTTACAAGCTTCCTGAGCAGAAGACAGCTAACCTGAGTTAATTATCAGTACACCAAAGTATTGGAGCAAGAGAAATGCTCTCACAGAGGCATTGCAGTGATTCTCTCTCACTGGCTTTACTGGAGGGTCTGCAAAAAGCATATGAATTTTAACTGCTGCAGTGGCTAATTCTGTCAAAAAGTAAAGAAAATCAGGTAGCTCTTCAGGCTTTTAAAGAGTACTTGTTTACTGATGGAATCAGTGCAAGAACATATACTCACTGACAGCAAAGAATAGAACTTTATCCCACAGCACATCAAGGCCAAAACTCTCCTATGAGAGAGATTTTGGTGTGCTGGGAGCCGTAGTCCTCCAAAGGTGCTTGGTCTATAGAGAAAAGCAGATATGAGATATCCAGATACTAATTCTCACCAGTGTCAAAACTAAAAGCTGTCTAGAAAAGAAAGAGCTAACTTGGTTTTCAGTGGAAAACTGCTCATCTTGTCCAGTTGTTGGCACTTGTCAATGGACCCAATCCGTCAGCGGGACACGGTGCTGGTGTGGGGCTGGCATTTGTGATGGGACAGTGCCCACGGCCCTACTTTTCTGTAACACCTTTTTTGGACTGAATGGAATAATTTTGTAATTCAGCACGGACTTCTCAGTGAAAGTTGAAGTTGCTTAGAGGATAGACTTAGTAAAAACAGTGTTGTCTAAGAGCCTGTTTTAGTACCCCAATTTGGTGTGACTCCCATTGTTTGTGGAGGAGTTGCATTCATGTCAAAATATAGCGATGAGAGGATGAATCATGTTCTGGAATCTTTAATGCAGAAAAGAAAAACATGTAATTAAAGTTGGAGTGATTTATAGTATGAACCCATTCCATCAGGGGCACATCTGAAGAAGTATGAAGGGTGTCCTCATATTTACAATACATGAGCCAAAACCAGAGAGCGTGGTGTCCAAGTTGTTTTTCACAAACCAGGCATGACACCCTCTTCTTGACATCGCCTGACAACTAGACATTGTTAATGGGTTATGTTAATGTATATTAAGGCAGGGAAATTGTTGGCATTTGGTTGATAATTAATTCAGAAATGATGACATTTGTAAAGCCTTTACAATGCAGTTTATACGAGGTTATTTCAATACATGTATTGCAGCAGAGCACAAGAGGGGATATTTGCATAATGCCTTGGATGTGCTCAGACTTTTCTCAAATCTCTGTATTGATGTGGCTACCACAGGCTTGGGAAAATGACAGAAAAGCGCCAGACTTGGCATAGCCCAGAATACAGGTTTGGCTCCCAATATGTGCAAGCTAGCTCTAGACAGTGCCCAATTTTGAAGCCAGGTGGTGTGCCCCAGTATTTCATCCTGTCCTTGTTCTGGGACCATGGTGAGCTCCAGAAGCCAAGGCAAACACAAAGCTAGCTTTTGCTGGGTTATGTTTGGCTGACATTTCCTGAAGGAAAGAGCTCAGGAAAATAAAAATTTAATATTTATTGGGCATCATAATAAAAATAGGAGTAATAGCAGCTCATTAAACAGAGCAGTTGCATCTCCCCCTTTTACTTCTGAGAGGCCAGTGGGAGAAACAAGCAAAGCAGTCTGTAGCGGGGAGAAGGGATTAATTCTCCCTGTATCTAGCAGAAAGGAACATTTTCTGCAAAACAACTTTGGGAAGAAACTATTTATTCTGTATTTAAAAGGCTGACTAGGTAGCCCAGATCACGTATAGTCAACCACCATCCTACAGGAAACAAACAAACTTTCCATTAGTTCTGCACTTCAGTGGTTTAAAATGGCCGTGGATACAGCGTTGGAAATAGCTGAGAACATCTGGAAGGGTCTGCATGTTCTGCTAACAAGAAACAAGACCATCTACCTGGATCTGGGGTACAGTGTACCAGCCTGTATACCTCTCGTCAGAAAGCTGGAATTTTCTGCCCTTTCTCTCAGTTGTGCCCTGTTTGCTTTTTTGCTTTTTTTTTTTTTTTTTTGTCAGGTTCGATGCAGTCAGTGTTTAGACTTACCTCTCTGAGCTCTTTGGGTGGAAAAAAAAAAAAAAAAAAGATGGGTTTTGGATAATTAACCACTATTTTATGGTATTTGTTGTGATGTTGTCTCCTGTAGTGTTTGGCACAGAAAAGGGATTGGGAGCTAAATCCAGTAAAAGATGCAAATACCTATGTGTTGTGTAATTTTTCCTTGTAGCTATTTAAATTCAGCATTAACAGCCCCAAAGGGGCAAAAACTAAATAATTATCATTTCCTATGAGCTAATGTAAGGAACTCTGCACCGAGTATGGTGGTTTTCATGAATCTCGTTCTTGTACATGCACTCATCTAATGCAATATATAAGGACCTGTGAAGTCCCTAAATCTGGATAGTACACTGCTGGCCTTTGGGGCTGTGGGAAAAGAGTAGCAGGCAAATGAAGGAAGATACTACATCTGCAGGCTCCTCAGGTCCACCTTGCCTGTTGGATGACCCTGAAGATGGTAAAATAGGAAAGGGAACTTCTTACACATCAGCAAAGGATACCTATAATGGTCACTTTACTCTTTCTGTCTTCATCTCTAGGCTGGAAAACTTGGGGGATGCAACCCCATTTTTCCTAAATAATTTGCAGGAGTGTAGAGTAGGCCAAGAGGTATTTTTACCAGGTACTTTTATTGTAGCTACGGCTTTTGGTACTAGGTCCATGAGGAGCCAGAGCTGCAGAACTGATCAGTGGATAGCCTGTCCCAAAAGCCCTGGGACTTAATTCAAACAATGCAACCCCAATAGCATTGTCCTTCACTATCAATAAAATGCTCTGCACCTGGTTAATGTGTTACTGATACCACAGGGGTTCCTATCTTACAGTACTTTGTGTCTGACACAGACAGAGAAAGGAGCAGTTGTGTACCATTTTCATAGTCTCATAGATAACTATGGGTAGAGGAGACCTCTGGAGGTTTCTGGTCCAGTTTCCTTCTCAAAGTAGTGCTAACTTCCACATAAACAGGCCTACTCAGGGAAGCATGAGAATTTAGTCCCTCGTATTTGATGGTGTATTTGGGTACTTACTACAAATAATGTGTTTAGCTTATTATCTATACATAGCCTATTATCCCAAAGTGATCTTCCATTTTGAGGTTCTGCTCAAAAAACAGAAGGTAATATCTTAATATTTAGCAAATGTAAGAATAGGCAGGATAGTAGAACTGTTTTCTGGCACTGTGTATTCCAAGAAGAATCACAAATTGATTAGGGAAGCTTTTTAAAAAAATTATTCTGGGGATCTGCCTTACGCAATGTTATGCATTTATTCTTGGAAAGGTTGCCCTGTTATGATGTTTTAGGTTAGACACACCAAAGTTAAAAGTAATACTTCCCTCAGCTTTATCTTCTGATCTTGAAATGAAATCTCAATGTATTTGTAGACAAGAAAGACCCAAACCCAGCAGCAACAAATGGTTCCCTTTCTGATACAAGGATATGCTTTTATCGGTTTATGAATTTGTTTCCCCCTTGTCTCTTGGCTGCATTGCAGTCATAATCATTACCTTTTAACACCAGAATGAAGCAGATCTGCTCCGTATGTCTCATACTGTATGTTGCTCCATTATGTGCTCTAGCTGTGCCCATAGCTCTGTGACTCCCATGTCAATGCTGCAAAAGCCAGTAAATTGCAAGCTCTTGGCAACAGCAGCAACTATTCCCCCTGAAAATATTGCATTATATTCCCTGGCAAAAGAGAACATCTAATGGAGTACAGATGATGTGAATTAATCTCTGAATAAGCATTTAATTTGTTGGCCAAGATGTGATTGCCCTTTTTTTTTCTGTAGCATTCTCATAATGAACATAAAAAGATTACAAGATTTGTGAATGTAGTCAGTCCTGTGGAAGCTCTGGCAGCTGTCTCTGCTTTGACTTCATTTTTTTCCCCTTAGTAATTAAAAACACTTCTACATGTTCAGAACCCAGCCATCGCTATGGGCACTTCCAGAACAAGATGTGGGATTCAGAGCTCTGTCACCTCACTTAGCCCCTTCCAGCCAGAAATGCTGAAGAAAGGTGAGTTGAGACTTTGAAAAATGTATTTCTTGCACAGGTTATTAGAACTGAACATGTTGGTTTGTCTACAAGCACGTGAGTTAAAAGTATTGCTATAGCTGAGATGCAGAACACTGAGATGGATTCCTTCTCTTGGGTAAATCCTGCTTTCATTAGGCTCAACAAAGAGCACGCTGCGGTGGCCTGCAATAAATCTTGACCCCATACCATTTCCAAAGCACTGTATGGCACGGTGGAGAATGGATTTTGGTAATTACATAAAATTTTGGTTAAAACTACATCAAATATGTTTGGATATTCACAAATTCAGTAGCAGAAGGTGAGAGGAAGACCTTGTGGCTTTCAAGACAATGGAAGGGTCTTGCACCAGGAGTGTGTTTACAATCATGACAGAGGAACTGGAAACAGGGGAAGGGATGAGAGAGATGAGTAGAAAATCAAAAAGGTTCTTTTGAACTGGATCCTGGAAACAATGGGGTGGAGATAAGGTTTTGCAGGCAAGGCCTGTCTTGGATCAGAGAAATCAGGGGGCTGGGGAACCTGGATCCCACCAGCACTGCACTAGACTCCATCCTACAGCTTCTGGGATCTCCAGTTGCTGATGCAGCTGAAGCTGCATGCCTGCTCCAACAAGGATGGGGCTGGCCCTCATCTCCACACATACTACGTGGGGTGAAAAGCTGGGGAATTGCACTGGAGAGGTCGGTGCTGTGGGCAGCTGGGGAAGATCCATGAATAGGAGACTTCACCATCCTCTGTGGCAAGAAGCAGTCGTGGCCTGATGGAATGGAGATGCGGTCAAGGACTTAGTGTTTAAAAAAGGAGGTGGTGACAGGAAGATTTGCAAGCAACAGATGTGGAGAAGAAGGAGAGTTCAGGGTCAAGGAGGATGGTGCTGCTGGTTCAGGGGCAAAAAAGAGGCAGCTGGAGATGGGGTGGTGGGTGCTGGGCCGTGTTCAAAAGTGGGCTTCTCAAATGGCTGTCACTCTTTTCAGCAGTTAGTGCATGTGGCAGGTTGGCACAGCTCACAGCCATGTTTCCAGCCCCTGGGGCTCTTGGTTGCAGGGGAAGATTTTCTTCTCCAGCATATTTCTGCAGGGCTGGTGTTAGGAGGTGGGAAAATGTCATCTTGGGCTAAAGCCAAGGAGTGGAGGAAGGATAGCTGGGGTTTTATTTCTGGTCCCAACGCAGGTGTAAGGTTTGCAGGAGTCATTTAACCTCCCCTTTTCCTTAATATAGAAGAGAATAATAACCTCTTTTTATCTTGTAAGGATATTTTAAGGCTTAATTCCCTAGTGAAGCACATCTGAAGTAAAAATTGCTGGTGAGAGGTAGAAAACTGACAGCAATGCTCACACATCTGGAACTTTGTTAAAAGTATTTGACTGTTAACCCTTACCCCATAGGACACCCATGTTTTGGCATCCCTTCTCCTGTTTTACAATGTTTGAGCAGGTGTTGTTTGCTGTTTTCCCAGTTAAACTCACGTGGTGAGGTCAAATAGCTTCTTGTCTGATACAGAGATGTCAAACTGACTTTGACAGCAAACTGCAGTGGGGCCCAACCATCAGCATCAGGTGGCCTGCTGTGATTTTCCCTATTTTGTAGCAGATTGCTCAGGGGTGATACAGCCAGGTCTAGATTCAGTGCAGTTCAGCTGACAGGTAACTGGGAACACTAGGAAAAAGAAAACAGAGAAATTTCTTTACAGCAATTTGGGTAAAAATATACCCATTCTTCCTGTGGCTCTCATATGTCAAAAAAATTCCCGGGACATGTGCTGCATGATTTTCAAGGATGATGAACACTTACATTTCCTTATGTCCAATGGAAGCATAATGTTAATTTATTTACTGATTGACTGACTACTAGCAAGAAACTACAGGGAGGGGAAGTGCAATGAGACTGAGTTTCACAGATTGACACGATGCAGGAAAAAAACATCTAGAAAATATTTTTTGTTGTAAAATTGCATTTTTCATGTTCATCAGGGTTCTCTTTGCTCTGCAGTGTAGGAGGGAGGAAAAAAACAAAGTCTGGCCTTTTTAATGTGCACTTTGCTTTGTGTACCTTAGGACGTTCACCATGTGGAGGAGCCATACAGATTGGCTAGCCTATCCCACGTGTGATAAAAGCTTCGAGTACCAGGTAGGATGGGGACACTCTTGTACTGATAGGCCACTCTACTCAGGAATAATCAGTGTTCTTCTGGGCAAGTAACCTCTATAGACAAGAGAAGAGAAGCAAACTGAGCCAGAAGGAAACGTTTAGTTCCTGTTATATGACTGGGAGAGAAAGGTATAAAAATGATGTGATTTTCCTTGGAATTGTTGGGTGTAGGTGACGAGGCTGCACTATAACCTAGTCTGCTGGCACCTGGCATTTAGCTCAGCCATTGAACTCATTCTCCCCTGAGCCTCAGAGGTGACTGATCATTTTAAATTATTACTCAAACTGATTGATTGAATTCCATCTATATGGATCTATTTTGCTGTTAGGAGAGCTGCTGTGTGTTTCACTGGTATTCCCCCCCCTCTTCCCACCCCAGTCCCTGGGGTTTGCTGTGTGCAGTTTTGTATCCCTTAAGTTTTCCTTGAAAATTCAGATTCATTCAGTTCCATGAATGCACGATTCACAGTGGAGCTGACACATTTCATTAAGCTCAGCACATTGCGTAGAGGCTTGGCAAAGGGTCCCTGGGCTTTATTCAACCCAGACACACCGTGTGACCAGCTGTCACAGGCTGTGTTGTAAAATTAGAAGAAAACCATAAAACAGAGTTGAGGGAAAGGAAAAAATTGTCCCTCTCTGGGGACAGCACTCTGAGTTGTGACAAAAGATTCTCAGAGCCCATCAGACACACACAAAAGCTTTGTGCAGAACTCAGCTGGTTTCATTTTGCATGCTTGAACGTTATAACCATGGGTAGGTGCCACTGTATAAAGGATCCACCTTGTTGCTGCTGCAGCACAAAGTTGTGCTTTTAACCAGCTGTCCAGGGTACATCGCTGTTTGTGGAACACTGTATCCTTTTAACCAGGCTGCAGGATTAAAAAGAACTTGTAAAAACATTGCGTCTTGCTCTGTTATGTTAGGGGACAGTGTGAGAATAGAGAGTTGTACAGCTCTTTCTGTAAAGGAACTAAAATCTATATTCATTAGATCTCACTGAATCTGGGGTAGGTGGCCACATGTACTGGTTGTCCTCATTTTGCAGAGCTCTTTTTTTCCCCATGCTGTGAGGTAGCAGCATGTCGTGGCATTCTTCACCATACAGATGCATCTGAGCATGGGTTTTGGGGGGCTGTTATGTGGCCCCAACCCCAAGCATTGCAAAGCTGTGGCCTCTCCTATTGACTCTACATGGCCAATGTAGCAGGGTGGTTATCAGAGTGCTTTTCATGCAAAGGATGATGGATCAAGAGAGGGGGATCTGGAACGCATGTGTTTGGAGCCTCTTTTTGGCAAAACATCCAGCAGGAGTCAGCTGGTGTGTGAGGTTTGTGCTATCTGATTAAATATTTAAAGACTTGTTATGTGTTTGAATGTTAGGACTGTTGCATTTAAGGGATCATTTGGAGGTACTGAAGGCTTTTCTGTGCATTTTTTTTTTTTTTTTTTTTTTTTTTTTTTTTTTTTTATGTAAGATGTCTGAAACAGGACTCCCCCAGGTAGCGGATATGAGGAAACTATGTTCTGAGTGAATTGTCCACAGTCAAACAGCGAGTAACAGAGCTGGGACAGAACTCCAATTTCTTGGCTTTCAGTGTTGCAGCGTAACTACCAGGTGTTGTTTTTATTGTCACTATTTTAGATAATTGGATGATGTATAAATAGGTCATAGCTTTGGTAGAGAAATAATTGTAGATCTCAAGGCACTGATAGATGACTACTGTAGATGCTAACAAAATTAGTTTATCAACAGTGGTAAAATTATATCATCATCCAGTAAGTGAAGCATGAAACATTGTGACCGAAATCTGTTCCGTGCCTGCTGTTTACCTTGACTCATGCCAATTTATAAAATGGGTTAAGCTATTTCCATTCTAGCATCATGTTCTCCATGTGGGAGAAAGCTTGCCTAATGAAATGCTTCCAAGTGAAAAATTGTGTTCCAAAGCTCATTAATCTCTTTCCTCCGTGATAAAGAGATGCAGTTCTATGTCCGTGCTGAATCCTGACCCCTCTGGTGCAGAGGTGGTAGCAGAATTGTGAGCAATATGGAAATGAAATACGTTAGGTTCACATTTGTTTATATTTAAGGGCCGCACATAACCTTGGATAGAAGAACAGCTTCCTGAAGGCATGAAGTGGCTACTGCAGTGACTGTTCCGTGTGATGCTATCAGTTCCATTCATCCCTTATAATCGGGTCAGTATGTTGAAAAGGCAAATGATGAGGCTGCTGAGGTGTGTCAGTACAGTAAAAGAAGGTTTGGGTCCAGGCCTGTTCTCAGTTGGACTCGGTGGTGTCAGGTCTCTGTTCTGTATGCTGACACAGCTCGAGTACTGCAGAAAGCCCCCGTGTGCTTCATGATCACTCAGGCTGTGTGCTGGGGTGGATTTGGGCCTGGAAAAGACCAGGCAGCTAGGTTTCAGTAGGTATACTGCAATTTCCTTTTTTTAAGCATAGTGCAGATCCTTTGAGTCTGAGTTACAGCAGAAAATATCAGGCTAATCCAGCATGATACACTGCACAGGAACAGATATGGCTTTCTGTGATATACAGACAGAGATCCTACTAGCAGAATTATTCTCTTCATAAATGGGTTGAAAAGGAACTCAGGTTTGGGAAGCAGTAGGACAGTACCCAGATCCATGGAGAACATTGTGAATGGGTGCGTGGGGCTGATAATGCAAGGAAAACTAAACTGTGATCATAGTTTCTCAGTGCCTTATCCGTAAGGAGCTGGTAGCATTCAGCATCTCAAAAGATTTAACCCAGGAAGGGATCTCTGGCATTTCCCCTTATTTCTGTTGTGCTCCTATATGATTTTTATGATGATACACAACAGGTACAACCTTTCTACAAGCCGTATAGCATGCTGACGTACAGAGAGATGCTTTTCCCTGAGGAGCTATGGGATTTCACAGCACTTATTTTTTTTTCTTCCCCCTTTTTCCAGCTGGGGATCTGAGGAAAAAGGCTGTTTGTCAGGCAGCGTTTTTGTCTGAAGTGGGATGTGACTGGCCTTCCCAATGAAGGGCTTTCAAACGGGCTGCCTGGGGGATCGTACAGCAAACTTGCCCTCTCCGCAGTAGTAAAAGAGCGGCTCTGATGTAGCTGGCCTAGCAAAGCAGATTTACAGAAGCAAAGGCCTCTCGAGGGAGCAAAGCCAGCTGGAGTGTCCTCTTGACTGAGCAAATCGTAAAGGGGGTCCTTATTCTGCTGGGAAGAAGTTGTGGGATTGGCTTTACTTTCAGCGTTTGGCAAGAGGGACATGTCCGCAGCAGGGAGAGGGTTTTGTCCTGAAAGTCTGCATGGTATGGCTACGCTCCTTCCTCAGCACAGGGCTTTCTTGGCTCTGGTTGGGGGGGGGCTAGGGAAGGCACAATTGAATTGAGAGCGATCCTACAATCACTTCAGTAGCACCGGGAGCTTAAACAGGCCCCAGATCTGCGGAGGAAGGTTGTACATTCATGCCACTTTTATTCTTTTATCCGCCAGCATCAGCTGAAAAGCCCTCAGGCTTTGCATCTTACTGTCTGTTTGATGCTCTTTGTTTTTCCAGACTGGTGTTTGTATTGATTCAGAAATAATCAAGTGGTTCTTGTCATCTTCAGTCCTGCTATTAGGCATTTTAAGTGTGTGTATGCGGACAGAACTGCCTGCCTGATGTGTGCAGTGACTGTCACGTGTAGATTCAGGAGTTTTGTTTGCAGCTTCTGAAGCACCCTCCTGAAGTAGGTGGTAGATACATTTTTCCCTTTCGATAGATCCCTTTTTCTGTAAGGTATTATTTGTAAAAAGAAGGAAAATGACTGATGCTGTTCCCTTGGGGTTTTTATATCCAGAAGGACCTCTCACCAAAAATAATACTACCAGACTGGGCAGCAAGGTTTGATCCTCAGAAATGTTTCATCCTCAGAAATGTGAAAAAGATGTCAAATTCATGTTTCTGGAAGTTCATTTAGCAGGAAAAGCTCATATGAAAGCAGCATCTTTAGGTATATGCAGTTCTTAAAACCTGTTTTTGAGGTTTTGAAGGGTAGTTTAGCTTTGGCAATTGACCCCTGGTGTGACAATTACCATGTTTTCCATGGTAATGGCTGTTACTTTTCTTCAGACCACAACAACAACAAAAAAAAAACACAAAATACAACAACCACCACCAAAACTGTAGTTCTGTTGAGCAGGGATACCACAGAGTCAGTCTGGTACATGTGAACTAATTGATTTCTAACAGACTTCAGAAATGGACTGCTTTCTGAAATAAGAATTATCACTAGCATTAAAATTAGTGAAGATAAATTTCTGCTCTCAGTAAATCCAAGGTTTGAACATAAAGAATGACAGACAGCATTTCATTTACCAATTGACATCTTGGTAATAATCCCCCTGAGTAAAAATCATAGGCATAAAAGCATTTGCACAGATGTGTTGTACAAATAACGTACCCCTAGATGTGAAAATACACCTGGAGCCCTCTAAGGCAAGAACCCAAATCAAGGTAGGACAATCGCGTGGAAAGCTGTGAGCTACATCCGTGGTTTAGGTGTGGGGTAACTTACCAACTCTGTACCTCAGTCTTCCCATCTGCAGTCTGTGAACAGTAACACCACGCTTCTCAAAACTGTTGGGAAAAATCACGGATAAGAATTTATAAAATAATTTGAGGTCCTCTGGTAGCAGAGTGACATATTTAAATTAGTCAGAACTGCACTAGATATTGAGTTCATGCATGGACCATGGCTCGATTCAGATGCTGTAGGTAAATCTAAATCCATGCCATGGTCACTACGTCTGCAGAGAATGGCTGTTTTCCTTTTAATCTGCTGTTCTTCAATGGGTCTCCAGCCTTTTCTAGCCTGTCTTCGTGAAATGAATTTTCCCCATTCAAAAGCAGCAGTGTTTTATTTTTGTTTTAGCTGTGCTTGGGAATGCAGAGCAATTCAATCAAGAGGAAAATACACCATGAAAAGCTCTGAAAGCCCTGAGGTCAAGGATCTGAAGTTACCCACAATATTAATGACAAACCAGTGGCTGTGCCATGGCAACGGACAGAAGAATATGTGGCGTGGAAACCGTAAGTAGTGTGAGGCTTTGAAAGAGCACAACCGGGAGAAAAATGGAAATTACATGATGTTCTCTCTGTTCTGTGCTAGGACAGCCATGTACAGTCTAATCCCTAATGTTGGCAAGTCCAAGATTTTCAAAAGAGCCCTGTAAGAGACAGAGAAAGGAGTTGGTTTTGGAATTAGGCTGCTGAAAAGTTTTATTTAAAAGGAGAAAGGTTTGGGCAGGAGAAGTTAAATAAAGTTGCTTTATTAAAAAAAGAAGAAAAAAAAAAAGAAAAAAAAGGAAGGATGTTGGTGTTATGGGATCTCCATGCCTGGATTCTCCTCTGGGATCTCCTGCTAGGTCCAAGTGAGTCGCTATGAAAAATCAAATTGTTGTTTGACTTGATCAGAAACGTGAACCTCAGCTTCTTTGTCAGAGTTAGGAATTAGCAGTAGTAAGTTGGGCTGATTCAGAGGGTGTTTGGGTTTCCTGTGAGGTGAAAGAATTGTTTCCCAAACCACCTCCAGACAGAGTAGTCTGCTACTATTTACTTTTACTGGGAGGCTGTGTTTCTGTGACCATCTCTGCTGGCTTGTGGCATAGGGGACAATAAATGGACCTGTCCTGCTCTCACATGGCACTGCTAGGGGAGAGGTATCGAGGCAGGGAGAGAGGCAGCTTTCTGCTGCAGGGCCCAGAGAAAACTGCGGTTCTTATGGTTGGAAGTGTGAGAACTGTTTCAGAAAAAGCTAAATAACATCTATAACAACGGTCCTGCTGTAGTCATGGCCCTGCTGTCACCTTCATTCTGCTAGCAGGTGAGGCACTGATGAGATAACTCTCTCAAATACAGGACGCTGTTTTATCTTGCAGAAACCTCTTCCTGCTTGCTGAGCAGTGTGGCACCTATGGCTAGTCCACACCAATTTATACCAGTCTGGTTCAGGCTTCCACAAACATTTTCCTTTTGACACCAGCGATCACAGCAAGTAGCTGACAGTGATGGAACTGGGCCACACAAGCCACTGGTGATCCATGTACCGTGACTTGGCTACCCCAGTCTGGAGCAGTTTTATTTTTGTTGTCATATTGCAAGGTGTGCCTGATCTCAGGTGGCACACAGAAGCATTATGACTTGAAGTCAGTGCCAGCAGTTGCAATTTTGCGTGTTATTCTTCACAAATGCCCTTTTTTCTCTACTCCTCGGCTGCGTGAGCACTTCAGCCATATAGCCTTGCATGGAGCTTTGTATATATGCAGGCTTTTTTTCCTTTTTTAAGCCCAGCCCCTACTTTTCAGAACGCTGGTGTTATAGTTAGTGACTCAAAACCGGGTCATGCTAAACTGGATCGCTGAGCAGCCCGTGGTTCTGTGCTGCTGTAAGAGCTGTTGCTGCAGTATTTGTTCTGTACCCTGGCTATCAGATGACCTAATTCTCTTTGTGAGAACAAGCAGCACACTTGAGCAGGGAGAGATCTGAGGACAGCCCCATGCAGGAATCTGCCCATTGAATCTGGTGGATTAGAGGAAGTTGCTTGCAACAAGTGAATGAGAACACAAAAAAGAAGCATATAAGGTTTTGGGGGGAGGAGAAGGATGGTAGGAAAGTAGATTGACCTGAAAATGGGAAAAATCAACAGAGAAGGGCAGCATGACTTTGCAGAAGATCGCTAAACATCAGCAACAGAGTGGGCAGGGGAAGGAAAACCACTGAAATCAGACAATATTTAAAAAAAAAAAAAAAGTTCCCTGGATAAAGGCAAGAAGTGGAGAAGCAGCGAACTTTGCTGCTGCTGTGAATGTTGCAAAGGATTGCTTAGCACCTAAAATATGCCCATAAGACCCTTTTGATGGTATGAAAGGCAGTAGCTCAGGAGGTATTGAATTCGGAACAGGAGCGCTGTGCAGCTTCTGGGCACTCTGCTGGGCAGTCTCCTTTGAAGCACCCTTTGATTACTTTGGAAAAGCTGGGATTAAATGACAGGAGGGAACAGAAAGTTCAGCTGGGACACGTGGCCAAGAAATGTGACTGTGTTTTCCTCAGTCAGTTGGCATTTGTTGGGTACCTTTTAACTTCTTGTTTAGCGTATTGTTCAGTAGCTACTCAGCTGACTTTGCGTATTTTACTTCTGAACATGGAACAGTTGCATCTTTGCATCTCTAATTCTTGTGGCTTTGCAGCTCCAGCGATACAGCAAACAGAAACAAGCTGAAGCTGGCTCCTCATTAGCACTATTATTTCCTGATGACATGCTGCTTTCCAAAATAATCTTATCTGTAGCAACTCGGTTAACTTTTAACCAACTCCTTCACGTGAATCCTTTTCTCCTTGTAACTAGTATAAATGTCTAACATGGTTATGAATAGATAGAAATGGTGATGAAGAGTGAGTGCGAGAGCGATGGAGAAATGCACATGCTTGGATTAAGAGTGATCCAGAGTTCAATTTCTGTGGCACTGTTTTGTTGACTTGTGTCTGCAGAGCAGGGCTGTGCTCCAGGTTCCTTCCCATTTTCTATACCTGGCCAGGACTGTCTGGCAGCAGTAGTGCCATGGTAAATCTGTAGGAATCCGGCATCTGCCTTAAAATGAATCAGCAGGACAAGACCAATGACCAAGTTTGGGGCAGAAGAGAAGTGTTGTCTCTACTGTTTACTGATGGAGGAACCTGCATTAATTTCCAGTTTTTGTTGCTTCCAAAAATTGCTACTGAAGGAGAATCCTCCAGGAGAATTTGCTACTGTGCAGAGAGACTGGGGACAGAGAGAGAGAGCAGGAGTAGGGTTAGTCCATGCAAGACTCTGCCATACTATTAAATGTGGCTAGTGTGATGGATGCCCTTATCCTTTGGACATTCTGTTAATTCTTTCTCCAAGGGTTATAATTTTGCTGGCCAAACTAGGTATTGAAAACTCTGAGCGACTCTCCCCTACGCAAATGGTTGTTGCACTTGGTCTATGGAGCTACAGAGCTGCCTTTCTGGCTGCTTTCTTCACTGTCCTCACTAATCCCTTGCTATTTCATAAAGTAGTTGTGTGGCTGTGGACCAGAGCTGCCCCTTGAGTATAACTCCTCATGCACTTGCTATGCCCCATAACCAGCAGTGGGGCCTGTGGGGCTCTGGGGACTTTAGATCTACCTGGAAGTAAACCAGGAGGGGGCTGAATTTGCTGTCACTGCATTCACAGCTCACTGCCAACACGTGTTAGAGCAGTGAGACCCCAGTGGAGCTGCTCTCCTTGCCTGTGTGGCATATTCCCAGGCTTGCAGAATTCATGGTGTGTCTTGTGGGCTTTGGCTGCCCAGGATTTTCAGTATGCAAAAGAAGGCTGGCCACTGCTCCTCCAGCTGTTCGTGAAGTGATACGTGTCAGTGGTAACCCTGCGTGTAATATCAGAAACAGCAGCCGCAGATGGAAAATCACCAAAGTGCAAGTCGTACTGACATGTTCAATGCCTGACATCAGATTCCTCGGAAAAGATCCTGAGGAATCTGGGAACCGTGGCACATGATGGATTATTTCTGGTTTGGCCTGTCTCCCCTGTGCAGCTTTATTTCTGTCAGTCTGTGCTTCTGACAGCTGGAGGGTTGTGGAAATGCAGCTCATCTTTTGGTGCCTTTACTATTCCTGCACTGCTAATAGGCTGGCGTAAGTCTGAGTGTGACACATGCGAATGTTTATCATATGTCCTAAGGTGACAAAGTCCTGGAGTACAGTCTGCTCTGTTCTTTCCAGCAAGGATGCAAAAAATAATCGTGCATGGTTGCTGGGAGCAGAAGATACGCTAGTACTCCAGCCATTACATTCCATCAGAGTTCGTAGGCAATTATGCACTGAGAAAAACAGCTTACCATGGCTTGAAGAGAGGAGGCAGATTTAAAGCCCGTTGCTGTCTTCTGATCCCTGGCAATAAAACATGCAAGGACTACTTCCAGCTCTTGCTAGCTCATCGAGGGGCATGCTCCTAGCTGTTCTGTCACGTTTTTTCCACTGACCCTCTTGCAGAATCAGCTGAACCGGCAGTGTTGGGCAGGACTTGAGAATTCCGGAGCACAGGGTCCCCTGGATGCCAAGCCCTCTGCAGGGCTCTCAGCGCTGTGGGGTGGGATGCAGGGAGCGGTGCTGGTCTGTGTTATCACGAGCTTTGGGCCCAGCCTGTCAAACTCTGAGTGCTCCCAGGCCCATGGTGCTGCCAGTGGTACTCAGGACATCCAGTACCCACTGTGCAGATCTGGCAGGATGCTTTTAAACCAGCTGAGGTGGTACTGCTTTGGTGTGGGAGGGAGGACCTAGGTGGCTTCTTTTCTTTCAGCCTGTTTCCAAAGGGTTTGAAGAACCTACGGACTGCACAATGCTACAGCTTCCACCAAGTCCGTTATAGTTGAGCTTTCTCCCCCTAAGGATATCTTCCAGTAGGAAAGAAAGAACCTGTCCAAACCTCAACCTGAAGCACACATACAAACAAAGCTAAGCCCGAGCAAAGCTGCTGGATAATTCCACTGTCATGGGTCAAAAACCAAGGCTGACACCAGGCTGGTAACGGCATTTCAACTCCAGATCCAAGTTTTCTTCTATAGTCTTGCATGTATATGACCACGGTGTGCTGGTGGATGGACTCAGGCGGGCTGTGCAGCAATATGTCACTGAGTAGTTAGTGCTGCTGTTGATATTAATTGCTTGGTCCTCTTTAATAACATTACTAGGCAGACTAATATGAGAGTTAATTTATTTCAGGGCCTAGGCTCAGCTAAGGACTGAACCCCAGCTTTGAGCTCCTGCTGTGCAGCACGGTGCTTTTCTGGCACAGATCCTGGGGAAATAGCGGTGCTGGTGGGAAGGGTGACTTTTCCCTGCAGATTGTTTGAATCCCATTGCACAGGTAGCAGGAGCGGTGACAGGCTTTGGTGGCCTCCTGCCTTGGAAAAGCAGGGGAGCTCACTGTTGGGATGGTTGTTTCCTGGGCACTGGGGCCAAATTTATTCTGTTAGTGGATCTGCTCTCATAACACAAGTCCTTCTAGGTATGCAAAGGGGACAAAACGACCCATTAGCTCTTGCAACAGTTCCAAAAAAAGAGCAAAAGTCCTGTACTGCTTGTTCACAGCCTTCCTGGCGTTTGCACAGGGGAAGTCTAATGCCATTCCCCTGCCATATTGTTTCCCATGAGTATCTGCCAAAGAATGCCTGATGCAAAAAATAAACCGTGGCAAGTGCCGTCTGTTTCCATTACTGTATGGGGAATCAGCGGCTTATGTAACGTGCAGCGTGAAACCATTGCAGAGATCAAATATAAATATTGCTCTGTTGTGGAATGTACTGGGAGCATAGTTGACATTTTTGTGGCTGATGAAAAATCAAAGCTCATTATCACTCCTGAGGTTTACCCTCTTTGCGCGTTTGTGTGTGTGTCTTTCTATTTCTGTATATTAAAGGCTCTGGGTCAAATCCTGATATTCTGAGTCTATTTTTACTTGGTTGCTACTCAGGCAAAACTTCCATTGACACTAACTGGAAAGCTGCCTAAGTAAAGGGCTCTGAGGGAATTCAGAAGCTGGCTGTAACTCAGCTTCATTTTTTTTACCTCTGAAATTCCCTTTCTTGAGGCTTGTCTTTGTATCTTTAAGCTTGCGTTAGCAAATCCTCGGCCGGTGCAAGTTGGCTTTGCAGTACTATAACCAAAGATTGATTTTTTTAATGTGACTTGGATCTTTTCTGTTTGCCATTTGGGATAGGTGTCCTGGGGGTCTGTCCTTTGAAGGACTTTCCCCATGGAAGGGGACGGGGATTTGTGGGTGAAGCCAGCCAGATGGCAGCAGAGCTGTGCTGACTTGCACTGGCTATGGATCTGGCATGCAGAATATTTATCTTTTTTTTTTCTTTTTTTCCTTTTTCTCCCTCATCATTGGAAACATTTGGAGCATGCTGGCAGGAATTCAAACGAGTTGCCTCCAATCTCAAAGCCCTCCCTGCTGCTTTCCTCCTATCCTGCAGCTTCTGAGCTTTCTTCCTGAACCGGTGCCGCTCTGTAGCACGAAGGCAGCAGGTTGGGATCTGGTGTGGAAGGCCCCGTGTGAAAGACACCTGAGGAGTAACTGGCTCGGGGAGTGAAATAATATCCAGCAGATGAGAGGAAAGGGTCCTCTGGCAGCGCATCAGAAGTGGATGTCAGGTGGAACCCTTGAATAGGGGGCAGCCAGAAAGGAAGAATCATTTCTTTTTATCCTTAGCTTGATTTTTGGCTTTTAGATTTGCTAAAATCCTGCACTTGCTTCCTGGGAATAATTTTGATGAGAAGAACACACGCGAGGCCGTCCTAGACAGATGGTGCTGCAAAAAAAGGGTGGCTGTGAGGTGTCATGGAAGGAAATGGAGGAGTGGGTGTGAAACGAGGATGGGGAGAGAGGGCGGATGAGTGACGCAGGCACGAGCAGGTCTGGGAGGAATGATGTAAAGTGGCCCCTGAAGCGAGCAGGGGAGCTTGTGGTACAGGAAAGTCGTGTCCATAAGAAGCAGCTTGTATAAGCTCCGAGGCGCTTCCTGAGTCCTGGAGATAGTGGGTGAAGCTGTGCTCAGGGCCACAATGCTGGTCCTGGAAAGTAAGCTGTGTTTTGATGAAAGCTATGTTTGTTATTAGAAAAGTGGTAGTGGAAGAGTTAACAACGGCTTATTTGCTGTCTCTACAAAGGAGGGATTCCCAAATTGCACTGTGGCACTTGGTGGAAGCCACAGTCTTATTTGCTGGTAAATGTCAAACCTCTGAATCTCTCAAGAAAAGGGATATATCCCTGTTATGCTCCCAGACCCATTAATTGTGGCCACAGAGAAATGACATCTTGCCAGTATGACCTTCAGGAGAATGTGGTGAATAGGTTAGGAGGAAAACAGGTTGGCTGCTCTCAGTGGCTTCATGGGCATAGCAGGAGGAGGACTGCTACACCTACTTAATGTTCTACAAACTTAACACACTTCCAGTTTTATATGGTTCTCATTATCTGGCCAGAAAGCTCATCCTAGGAATTTTGTTTGTGTTAACCACTGTTTATTTAAATCCTAATGAAGTATACTATGAGCTTAAAATATACACCCTCTTCAAACCTCAGCTTACCTTGACAATGCGAGTAGAACATGAAATTTCTTTTTTGTCAGTCGATCTTAGGGACAGACTTCAGGTTTCTTACCCTCTGATACCACAGAATATACTGACTGTTGGTCCAGGCTGCTGGTTCAGTTGCAAAAGATAAATTTGGCTTCAAATGCACTCCTGAACTTCTGGGGAAAACATGTTGCCTTTCTTGGGATATCTGCATACGCAGTAAAATGCAGAAATCCCTTGTGCTACAAGCGTTTTGCTCGAGGTTGCTGATCAAGTGTTTAACAAGCCAAGAGGACCGAGTAATTTGGATAATTTAAATAAGGAGCCCCTCATGCTTCTCAGCTTCATTCATTACTATACTTAATATGTAATTACAGTTAGGTGGAATACCATTAGCCATTAATTCTCTGTTACTGATGAAAATGGAATTGAGTTACCACTTGTAAGAGCCTTATTTCATGCTTTTTAGTGCCTCGGCCTACAGCAGAGCATCTCTGAAATAACTGTGGAGTAAGCAAAGCATGACCTTCCTAGAGCTGCACTGGAGCTGTGAGCCAACCTGAGCAATCAAGATTTAGGACTTTTGTTCAGGATTTTTGACATTACCTGCAGCTGAGCAGCTTTAGGGGCTTTTGCTGGTGGATGTTTCTTTCTGCTCCCTGGCTCAGGGAGGGAGAGATTGGCACTCCACGCAGCAGAAGGCTGAGATGTTTCACATGGGGTGATGTGCACATCTCCAAGGTCTCTGTTGTAATCCTTGGCTTCCTCCCTTATCTTTCCAGGGTGTACCTGTGCAGATGGGAACAGGCAGAACCAAGTCTTGCTTCTCTCTTTCTGAGCTGGCCAGACACAAGCTGGTTCTGGTCCAGATGCCGTGGAGGTGCATTAGCAGAGTGTGGAGCCAGACCTAATACTCCCTGCCCTGTGGCACAGGTGGGTGAGGAGCGAAAGCAGCTCTGTGCTCATAGACACAGACACACCTAACCCCTTTGTGAGGCACAGAACAGACAGAGAAGGGATGTCCAGGAGTGTGGGCAGCCCAGGAGCCTGCCCAGAACCACCTCCACTCTGTGTTTTTACTGCAGGGTTGCAGGTTTGGTATGTGAAAGCACCAGCAAATTAGTTGTTGTCCAAAGTGAGAACTTCTGTTTCCCTTTGAGCTGTGGATAATTATGACCTACCTTAAAGTAGTGTTCTACAGCTTAATTTCTTAATATTTTCTGGTTGGGATCTCAAAAGGAAGGTGTTAGACAGGAATGAGGTATGACTTGAGCTTCAAATCCTAACTTTCTTGCCCCCGAGGAACTCAAAGGGAGGACATGCTTTGTATCGTGGAGCAATGACCAGTTTCATTGCCCACAAGGAGTGGCTTTGCCTTCTTAAATTACCCTGTTAAATGGGTAAAAAGTCGTGTTGGACTGCATGGAAGAATCTTATTAAATGGTGCTAGAGGAAGAGACTCAATGCATATGTATACATACAAGATGTACTTTGCATTCAGGGTGAGAAGCCCCGTAGAGTTTCCAGCAGTTCTGTGTGTGCCTGGGAACTCTCGTTCCTTGTAATTTCTCAACAGAAATCATGACTCTGTCCACAGAGTTAATTATGATATATTTGACATCTTATTAAAAAGCACAGCTGCAGGCCTAAATGTGTACAGCAGGCTTCCTCTGAGTCTATCACTTAGATCAACCCAACATTGCTGCAAGGTCACAGCTTTTCAGGAAGCTACATTAACTACAAACTGGCACTTATGCTGAATAAATTCACTTCATTCAATGCTGTAAAAAAAAAAAAAAAGTCACCAGTTATCTTTTCTTGATGAGGTGTACCTGATAACCGGCTTGTGACTGCCTCTTCGTTACTTCATGGTCATCTTGCCTTTATTTTCTCTTCTTTCCATTCTGCAAGAGCATACGGGCCCCTTTGTTTTGAAAAGAGAGACTAGATCATGGGACTAAATAAAATGAACCATAGATTATTAAGTGTTAAAGCCAGGAGGGACCATTATGATCAAATCCTTTGACCTGCATAACACAGGCCAGAGAATTGCATCCAAAAATTCCTGGAGCAAGTCCTCCACTTGTATGGGAGCTATGAGGATATTTTTTATAAGAATCTTAATTTAAAAACCACAAATGATGGAGAAGTCTTTCTGATAATAGTAATTGCCTTGAAGCCATGACAACCGTCTGTCCCCAGCCAAAGTATGCAGGGCTCAAATATGATCATTTTTACACTACAAACAGTTTTGGGAGGAAGAGGTCAAAGCAGAAAATAAACAGCAGTGTTTCAAAGAGATAGCTATGAATTGACTGTAGCTCAAGAAATCAATGAAAACTGCCTATTGAAAGGAGGGAAAGAAGATAAATTAAGCCAGAATTTACTGAGGATGTTTTAAGTCTTCTAAACCAGGCTCTGATATAGGTAGAATAGCTTCCTCTTGATCTTGAGGATTCTGCATTCTTGATCTTGATTCTGCATTTCTCTCTCCACCTAGTTTGATGCTCTGGACAAGAAGCTTCAGACTTGAAACAACCAGAGCGTAAGGTCCCGCAGTGCCTCTGTTCATAGCCTGCTTGCTTTGCAAAGTGCTCATTCCTCCTGCGGACTGCTCGGAATTTATTTTTTTTTTTTCTGATAGCTCATTTACTGGGAGTGTAACCTGACCTTTAAGGGGTTCATGTTCAATTGCCCCTGTGCCACTTTCTGGTCACAGAGCAAAGATCTCCAACAGCTGAGAAGGCAGTACAGCTGATGAGGATGTTTCCAGCTAAACCCCTTAGCAGAAGGAAAAAGAAACACTGGAGTTTCTCAGAAAGCCACAGGCAAACGAGTGATCTCTTAAGGAGTATCCATTTGCACCTCTCCGCCAACTTGCCTCTAGGTCATAACACCCTTTATAAGAAGTTTTATACTGTTGCCACAATTGTGGTTTGGGGATCTACCAATAATGGAGTCTTTAGGGTAAAATAAATATGATTATACCTGTCAACCCCAGTGACTATCTTCATATGTAGCTTGCAAGCTTATCACATAAATAATTGACGCCATGGTTCATATTGTGCCATTGATTAGCTAGCTGCTGACTGAAACATCCACCCAGTGCTTTGAAGATGAAGTGCTGAATATTTATTGTCATCATCAGTACTTCTGGCTTTCAGTTCCATGGAGAAGGGCCAGCAATGAAGCTCCAGCTCCAACCACCCTAAACATGGGTGTTGTTTGGAAGCTGATCTACAATCGGGTTCCAAGTTTAGCAAATTTTTATCATGGAGTGAATAAAACCCCAGGTGTGACCATCCTGGGGGCAAATCCCTGGCCTCACTGGAATCAGTTGGACTTCTGCCAGAGGCTGGAGTTCGAGCCAGGAGTGCATACTTGAGGTTCGAGATAGGATCGTATTTACAACTCGATCCTACCTCCTTACTTAAGGTTGGGCAGGAGGTGAGAGTGTTCTGAAGTTTCTACCCTTTCCTAAGGATTTTTGAATAGAAGCAGCTAAATAAAAATGTTTTCTTCAGATTCTCTTAGCCCAGGGTTTGTTCCCAGGCAAGGGGGAAAATTTGTTGATCTGCCCCATCTCCTCCCCTTGTGGCATATATGTCATCTGTATGGGGTGTTTCCACTGCAAGTGGTTTAGCATGCTAGCCCAACATATCTAGAAACTTGGGATTTTATTCTCTGAAAGACGTTTATCGCTGTAGACAAAAATACACTTCTGAGGGCAGCTTTTCCCTGTTTTGGGAAACGTGTGAGATCAGGTGAGGGTGGGAGCCCTTTAATGGGGCTACGTGAAGACCTCAGAGCCAGTCTCTGCTCTCTCTGGCTGCAGCCAGCCTTATCCGGCAGAATTTGTCCTCAAGGAGGACTTGAATTAAGGTCTTGAATTAAGGCAATGTTTCTTCATGCTGATACACAGAGGTTGCAGGCAGAAAGAAAAGGGCTGCTTCCTGCCTCCACCACTGTTTTGCTTGCACCTGTGCTGCGGCCAAACACAGCGTGTCCCCTGTCAGCCACGCAGACCTGCCAAAAACACACACAGCTGCTGCCCGCTTGGGAAGGCCGGGAGCTGAGAGCTGGAGCTGGGAGCCAGCCCTGCGCCAGCTGCAGAGCAGCTGCTGCCCAGAGGCACTTTGTGCTCAAGCTGCTGAGCACTGCATCCCACTGCGGTGCCACGATGCTCGCCGGGACTGCAGCTCTGGCTTTTGACATCCAGCTTGCCTTCTGCTGCGCTGAAACTCATTAATCCCTTTCCAACTCTGTATGCTGTTCCCAGTGTTTGTAGCTTCTGATGAATTCAGAGCTCGAGGATTAGTTTCTGTGGCCATAAGAGAAGAATGAATGTACTGAAAAAGGAGTATTTTCAGAAAGTGGTTGAACTTCTGGAGAGGCTGGGCTGCCAGTAGTTACAGGTAGATGGAGAGCTTGCTCCTGCCTGGCTCGGGGCAGGGTGTTGGGCAGATTCTGGCAACCAAAACAGCAAGGAAGAGTGAGTGATCTATGTTTTACTGTGGCAAACTCTTCTAAGCAGTGTCAGTATATCTCATTGCATGCTTTACTTTCCCTTGCTCTGAAGGGGGTTTTGGATTTAACATTGTGAGTGTGAGGAAACGAATGCTTACCCCTCGGATTTCAGTGTCTCCATGCACAATATCCATCGGCATATGCACTAGACCCAGTGAGCCAGAGGCACTCACCGTGCAAAGCTTAAGGATTAAGGTTTTAACTCGGCCTGGACAGATTTCCCCTGAGCAGCTCTTTGCTGTGGGGGTGACAGCACTGGAACAGGCTGCCCAGAGAGGCTGTGGAGTCTCCTACTCCAGATACATTAAAACCCACCTGGATGCCATCCTGTGCATCGTGCTGTAGGTGACCCTGCTTGGCAAGGGGTATGACCAGATGATCTCCAGAGGTCCCTTCCCACCTCAGCCGTTCTGTGATTCTGCCAGCCCTCCCAGTGTTGCTCTGAAATGGAAACCTCCCTGCACAGCTGTGGTGCTGAGATGAGTGGTTGTGCCAAAATTAATTGTTAACCAGATGGGAAGAAACCCAGCTCCATCCACAGGCACAGGCTTTGCTGAACCCCAAAGGCATACGGCTGTTGTGGTCGCTGCACTCTGTGGTAATACCCTAAAAAAAAATGTACGAGTGAGGATGTCTGCAGTCAGATAGGGGCAGTGATTTTAGGCTTTGTTTACTGCTGAAGATTTTTTGCTAAGAGACAGTTAAAGTGGGATTTGTGTTGTCTGTTTACTGTCCTTTAAAATCCAGTTTAAGGTAGATTCCTTCTGTAGTCAGTGGAGAAAGATAAGCTCTTCAGCTGGGTCCTATATGAAGAGAAGTGTTTAAGATGCACAGAACGAATTGTCCCCTGAAGGTGCCTGACTCTTACCTGCCTAATGTTTAATGGGTTGGATGCAGCCTGTTTCAATTTTGACATATTCAGACAGGGGCTTTAGACATTAGTCAAGTTATGCCGGTTTAATAGTGCTCACTGCTCACGTTTTCCCTCTTATCTGTGAAAGGCAAAGGTTTACGTAGCTGAGCTGATGTGCATTTGCTCAGAAAACCAGAGCAGTTCAGTTGACTGCCTGAGAATGACAACTGCAGCTAACTGCAATTTATAAAGCACCTGAGAAGGTATCTACAAACATAGGTAGTTTGTTATTTTCAGAAGGTAACTAGTCAGTATTTATCCCAGTTAGTAAATTGTTGAGTGGGAAGGGAACTCTGAAAGCCATTTCATCCATCCTCTGTTGTAGCTACATGCATGTAGATGTTCATGCTTTTACAGATTCCCGTTATTGGAGGCATGCTGCCCAAAGCTTCGTTGTTCTGTAGTTTGAAAGCTCTTTTTAAGCCAAAGCCCCATTTCCTGTGTCTTCCTGGGTGCCTGTTAGCATTTCAACCTAGACAATTAGTGAATTCATGAGCAACAAAATAAACCAAAAATTTCCAAAACACATTGAAGGGGGTGAGAGAGGAGAAGGGAGGCTTATAGTACATTTGAGCACATAGCTAGATTTTGGCAGCAGCAAGTTAAAGGCTGTCTCCGATAATAAAGAGGTGCTTTGGAGTGTGCTCTGTCTGAGGAAGTAGGGTTGAAGCATTTAGTTTTTTTTTAGGTTGGTCTGCTTGAAAAAACTGCAGAAGACTTTTGAAGGGCTCACCAGATTCAAGTTAATGAAATGTATTCAATCAGAATGATTTGAAAGGAGAAAATAAGGGAGAATAGGGAAAACTTCAGCAAGATCTTTTGTACACCTGCAGAAGACTGTTTTTTTTGTTTAGCCTTGTGACCTGGTATTTGTTCAGTTAGTGATAGTCCCCTGGTATTATAGAAAGGAAGCTGTTTTAATCCCCATTCGTAGCCAGAATTTTCTGAGTGTGCAAATTCCTCAAAAGCTCATTAAATTATTACCTTCATCCTCGACTGCATGCTGCAAAAACATTTCCCCCAGTCTTAATGTCACCGTCTGTTCAGGCTTATTAGTACAGAGCAGCTCACAAGACGTAATGCACTGCTAGCGCTGCTGCTGCGGGCTCCAAGCAGACCATCACAAATATGGAAAGCGCAGGGCCCCCGTACCTATTATGGTTCTCATTACTCTGAACTACTTTGCTGCCAGCTCTGAGTTTCCAGGCAGTGCAGGGCAGAGCAGGGTCTGTTCCTGAGGTCTCTCTCTTGTGGGTGCATTAAATGCCCAGGTGCTCAGCGGGTTGGCACTTGTTATTAGCCCAGACCTCCGAACAGAGAAACTTGTTTGCTCGTCATTTCAAGGACTCTGTTTTCTGCTTAGCATGCAGATACATAAATAGATCTTGCCTTAAGATATCCAAGCTGTTTTGGGTCCTATTTGTGGCAGAAGCTAGCTACTAATGGACTAAAAATCCATAAGTGCAATGTCTCACGTGTCTGCAGCTTTTTTCACCCAAGTGTTTCAGAAAGCTTTACCCCAGACCATGCTTAATTGTTAATTGTAATTATCTCCATAGTATAAATGAGACGGAGACAAAAGAGACTAAATTGCTGCTCAAACTAGCAGTGCATGGCATAAAGCTAGATTTAAGCTTTGGCTTGCCTTCTCCGAGCTCTCTTTCTCAAAGGCAAGACTGCCAATATCCTTCTGGGTCATATCAAAGGTTTTGGTAAACAGATGAAATATCTATTTAGCATGCGTCATGTGCTACAACTTCTTATTCTTTCTGAATCCACGGGGCTTTGAATCTAATATAAACCACTCACTGCTAATAGAGGGAAGCAATAGCTCTGCTTATGGCCAGAGGCACAGAGAGGGTTGGATAATACTGAGTGTACGGATTCCTGAAAAGCCAAAGCGTGTGATGGCTACTCTCAGCATGTTGGTATGAGACTCACAGGCAGCACGTGGGCTGTATACCCATGGGCAGGCTCTGGACCAGCTCTTGCAAAACCAACACATGCACTTCTTGCATTCAGGAACTGAGTGTTTCCATGCACAAAAGGAACGGTGGCATGCAAAGAAAAATGGGCTGTTTTCCCCTTGTCCAGCCTGCCAGTGAAAAATCAGGATTTCCTAGTATGATGCTTGTCTTTGTTGTAATGTTTTATATATATTTATGTATGTATATGTAATATATATATAGATGTATATTTATGCATGTACACATATACACACACTTGCATGCAGTCAGATTTTTAAACTACTTTGCTGTGGTTGCTATGTCAGGACAAGATCTCCTTGCATGGTGGTGAATACAAATGCTTTAAGTTAGAGTTTGCGCCTGGAAAGATGCTCCTTGTGAAGAAGGAGAAAGGTCTGGACATGAAGAGATCAGGGCATAATGGAAGGTGATACAATCTGGTGGTTACAGCATTAAGGTCAGCTGCTTTCTGCTTGGAGTCTCCTGCTGGTATCTCTGTAGCTTTGCTACAGTTAAAGTGCCTCATGTCGCAGTTTCTTTCAACGTACCGCAAGGGAAATGCAACCCGCGTTGTAAAGGGAGAGCTGTCTTATTTTTTTTTTTTAGCCAAGGATCCCCAAAGTCTTTCACAAATAGAAAGTCGTGTTCAAAACAAGCTCAGCTGGTCCGGGTTGAAGGAAATGCACAGAAATAGTGC